TATGTGTGTGTGATCTACTCACCATTTTCAATTGATACTTTTATCACCCGTATTTTACCGTTCTTGGCCTTGGCAAACACTTTCGCTAGTTGCTCGTTGGCTGATAATAATAACAATGTAAAAATAATATTTATGTTTTTATTTTCTATCTAGCTGTTCCGCTAGCTTACCTTTGATGCCTGTTTGGTGCGACATTGTGAACTGAGTGCACTCACTAACCAATTCTAAATTCTAATAGGAGAAAAAACTGTATTACTCACAAGAAAAGCGGCGCTGCCACCTCTTTTCATTTTGTGTGGCATAGGTGGCATCTTTTTATCTTTGTTTACATTTTGCACGGAAACAGTGCACCATCTGGCAGCACAATTTTATGATAGTGCGACCAGAGTTTGCGCAAGTTACAGTGCATTTTACAGCACTATCACTTGCTCTGCGTTCTTTTCACGTCCGTAAAATGTAAAACAGAAGCTGCATTTAATTGCATTTATCGCGACGCAGTCCAATCAAAAACCAATTTCTAGTGCAATCGTGTAGTGAATCAAGTGAGTGAACAAACAGGTCGCAGCTAGAGTGCCAAGTATTCCACGCTCCAATTAGTAATAAGCTGGCATACACGCTCTCGCTGCCTCTGTCATTATCTCTGTCGCTGCCAACGTCAGCGTCAGCGCTCGTCACCGCCCTACTGCTACGAATGTTTACTTTCGCTTGTTTATGTCTTGAAAATCGAATATGAAATGCAATTATTGAAGTGAATCATCAACTTTTGCTTGTGTTCATTTCAGCATCCTTACCCATGTTAACCGAAACGCTCATGGCCAGCGACAACATAATGGACGAACTAGCATCTTTGATCCGCACCGAAATTCCCGATGGCCGCCAGAGCCTGCGCGACAGCTACACGAATCTCGAACGTGTGGCCGACTACTGCGAGGACACCTACTATCGTGCCGACAATAAAAAGGCTGCACTCGAGGCCACCAAGAACTACACCACTCAGTCGCTGGCCAGCGTCGCGTATCAGATCAACACTCTTGCCTACAGCTACATGCAGCTGTTGGATTTGCAGGCGCAGCAGCTCAGCGAAATGGAGTCGCAGATGAACCACATCGCTCAAACTGTGCACATACATAAGGAGAAGGTCGCCAGACGGTAAAAATAAACAATTACAAATAAATATTTCAGTTAACTAAATCGTATATTCTTGCAGGGAGATTGGTGTGCTCACGGCCAATAAGGTGAGCTCGCGGCAGTTCAAGATTGTGGCGCCCATTAATCCCGAGAAGCCCATCAAGTATGTGCGTAAACCCATCGACTATTCCATACTGGATGAGATTGGGCATGGGATCAATTCCTCCAATCAGCATGTTGTACGGCAGAAGCACCGCGGCTCGAGTCATGGTTCTGTTCAATCTCTGGTGCCGTCATCGGTGGGTCCGCCGCCCACCACGAAGCCACCGACACCGCCACAAATGTCGCGTGCCGGCAACACAGGCACTCTGGGGAAATCGGTCAGCAATACCGGAACACTGGGCAAGAGTTCGCGGGAGTACCGCACGCCTCCAGTGGTAAATCCACCGCAAGTGCCCTCACACTATGCTCCCAACTATCCCATTGGACATCCCAAGCGTATGTCAACGGCCTCGTCCACCACAACCACCACGACTGGTGGCGGTGCAGCGGGCAACGAGCGGGCCGCCGGCTACAGTGCGCTGCCCATGCCGCCCAGCCAACAGATTGCCACGCACGTAAATCTGCCCTCGGCGGGCATGATGCAGTCGCTGCCACCGCCGCCGCCTACCACCTACGACGACAGGAGCAGCATGCCGCGTAAGTTGAGCGATTTGAATTGAATTGCGAAAAGAAAATACTGAAAATTTCTCGTGGTTACCCTTAGCAGCGCCTCCCTCGCCGTTGACCGTCTCGCAGCACGAGATGACCGAACAGAGTCACATTGGCATGCACACCCTGGGTCGCAACATCAATAGGTAAGCAACCACACATAGCATGTTCTCATTGTTCGTTTGTATATTACTCATATCGTACTTTTTAATGCCATCTGCCTGACCACAGGAATCCGAATAGGTAAATTGCATGCTTTTAACTATTAAGCTAAGTTTTATGTTAATTCTTGTGTGTGCCTAGGAATCATTTCAGCTTGAACTTCGCTCGCCCTGGATCGCAGTCGCCGCCGTTGCCACCACCGCCGCCGCCAGAGGATGAGCACCAAGACTTTGGGCGACCACGCACCTCAACGGGCCCACAATTGGCTCCAATTGTGCCGGAGGATCAGAACTTACCTGGCTGGGTGCCCAAAAACTACATTGAAAAGGGTAAATATCACAGCAAATATATTTGTATATGCGTATTCTCACATATATTGTATTGTGTTTACCTTTAGTGGTGGCTATTTATGATTATTATGCCGACAAGGATGACGAGCTCAGCTTCCAGGAGAGCTCCGTTCTGTATGTGCTGAAGAAGAACGACGATGGCTGGTGGGAGGGTGTTATGGATGGTGTAACCGGTCTGTTCCCGGGAAATTACGTCGAGCCCTGTGTCTAAGCACTGCCAACGGAATTAACAATAACAATAATATGCATTATAACGCAAACGATAAGAATTTGCGCATATTGATAATGATAATTATACAACTACAGCCGCAGCGCACGCTCTAAAAGTATTCCACTAGCATAAACTGAATGGCAACGAGTTACATATAGCTAAATATTTACTTGTGGTCAACAAACTCTCACTCACACACAGACACACACACACACACACACACACACGCACGCACACTCCAGCAACAATTGTCAGAGCATTTATATGAGCGCGCTCGCTATTTTCTACATAAAGTAAACTATAAACTAATTCAATAATCTAATAGACGAAAATAGCCCAAAGGAATGAAAAATTCATGAAATTGAGAACATACATATATATGTATACAAAGATATATATATCAACTATATTATACTGACATATAGACGAATTCGGCCCAAAGTATAAAGTGGTTAAACAACTGCCGGCGCTTACCACAATTTGTGTTAAAATGGTTTTTATTGTTTACATTGCGCTTGCACCACGCCTCCACCAGACCCCCAATAGCCGCAGTATCGTAGGTTATACGAATTTCAGTTAGCGTTTAGCATTTAAGTATTGGCCAATTGGTTATGCATTTTTTCTATGCACACATATGATTATTTACGAGAACACAGCAATATGCATATATAAATATTATTTTGCGCCAATGCATACTAAAGATTTAGTTAAAGTGAAATTGCAAAAACAAGAAATCAAATTACATTTATAATACATACAGCTCCACATGCATTATATGGTCTAATAGCTAATAAAAATTTCAAATTTCAAAACCTCTGTTTGTTGTTTGACCATGCAATTTGGCATTGCTCGTTTGCATACGAAGGACCTCTCGACCTTTTCGTGCCGGATGCACGTGTGCCTGGGGAAATCTTTTATGAAAATTGGGACGCGCAGTGAAAGTGCTCTGCTTGAAATGGTAATGTGAGTCCGTCCCTGGCGCCTGGACTGGTGAGTGATGCATGACGTGGGTGCCCGGCTGTTCGACTGCTCTCAATAAAATATTTAGAAATGCCAACGCTTATCAAACTCCCGCCCAATTCTATCAATCAATCAATTTACCATTGCTGCATGAATATAAACAATTCACATTTCAATGTCGCGCTCGCGAAACGGCATCGGGCCAAACAGCTCTCCCACAGCCAGCCAGGACGACACGGAAATTAATGCCTTCATGTTGATGTGTTGCACTTTTTTTTTTTTATTTGCAACATTTATTATCAGGCCCCATTCACTCGACTTGAGTCGACCCACTGCGGCTTGGTGTGAGATCGATGGGGCGGAAACGTTTCTAGTTTTCCGGACAGGCGCCGGCTGCCCGACTAGAC